TTATTTCATTCATAATTGTGTGTGAGCTGACTGGATTGACCGGATTTAGGTAACAATGAGCTGTGCCCAGAAGGGTCTTGTTTAGAGTCAATAGGACCTGGTGGAGGGCCTTGGTGTTTAAAATTCAGTTAGTTGGGCCTTCAGGACTACATCCCAAGAGCCTGGTGTTAATTGTGTCTGGGACTAAGTGGTACAGCACTGGTCTGTCAATCTGCTATACTGAGATAACCTGCGGTTGCTGTGATGCTGAACGCTGTGCCACTGGTGTGTCAAATGCTATAATGATTACTCACTGTTGACAGTGTTTGGTGGAGCTCCCAGATTAGGACAAGCTTGGAAGCAGGAGTGGCATTCCCTTTCTCAACAACATGCCTCTGGAAACTCTTTGAACTTAGAGAAACGAAGATGGTTATAGAACAGGGTTGAGGTCTTTTGTTCATAGGGTCTCTATGACTCATGGTCGACTCAATGGCACTTTAACAACAACAGAGAGAAATAAATAGTCCCCTTTCAGGTGTAGGGGAAAGAAGGTTGGCTTAAAAAACAGGAATGAGGGGAAATCTCTTTTTTTCTTGAAAAAGAAAAATTTCTGAACAAGTGCAAAATTATTTCTTCCATTCTAGCCACTCCTGCTCCTAGAACCTCATGACAGGGAGTTTCAAAACAAACAACGGAATACATTTAGAAGACATATGCCTAGGCAGTATCAGGGAGCACCCACCACACTGAATTCATGCTCCTAATGCTGGCCAATTGCATACCTGCCACCAGTGATGAGCCATCGTTATGGTATTGAGAGAGGGAAAAGCAATGGAAGGATGATTTTAAACTGCACTAAATTATGAAAGCATTTGGGAGAGATTATGAAAAAATGAGCACAATACTTTGTAAAGGGGCAGGGGACAGGAGAAAAATGTTCTGCTCTAAAAAAGGAAGGTTGGCATGTATGTAATTGGAGAGTGACAGAACACATACAGCATTGTTTGTTATGCATCTTCTTTTTGGCACAAGAGCAGACACCAGAGAAAACAGAACTGGCCTGAGCTCTGTTCTAACAGAATATGTTTTCCAATTATAGAAATTGCAACAGTAAGACAGGCATGGAGTAAACCAGAGTTGTTACTTAAGGTAGAAGGAAAAGTCTGAGATTTGCACTAAAATGGAAAGTTTTCTTTACTTACTGGAAGACCAAGGGGTCCTCTGTCACCCTTTTGACCTGGTTCACCCTTCAATCCTTTAACACCATTTAACCCTGGTTCACCCTAAATGCAAAAGCAAATGCCAATTTTGGTTGCTATCATGGGTCTTTAAAATGGGGAGAGAAGAGAGCCAGTCTCTGAAACAGTTGCAGATTCCAGTTTTAGGTAACAGCAAAGTCAGGCTCGGGTTATCTTTCATCAACATGATGATAAAAAAAATTAATTTTACAATTTATAAGCTGAAATGGACAGTTAGAATATTTGGGGAAACAAAATTCTTGAGACAATTTTTCTCAAGAATTATGAAGATGTGATGCTTCTAATCAAGTTATATTGGACTAAGTTCCTGGTTTCCAGGTTATATCTATAGGAAATTGGGTTTATATGACAGTGTTGTGACCAAGTTAGTAAAAAAACATTCAGAGTGGAGGGAGCTGAGGTAGATGCAGTAGGAAAAACCCACTGTGCTGGAATGGAAAACTGGAATATGCAGGACAGTGTACTATGTGGATATTTTAAGCCTTTAAGCATTTTCCCCAGGGGGATGAGCTAAGCATGAAGCAGCTGATGTTTGAAGTAATGCCATTTAGCAAGTCCTTATTCACTGACATCGCCAAGGCAGGTCCCTGCATGGATTTATCAATGGAGTAGACAACAAATTGCCAATCCCAGAAGAGAAAATGAAGATCAAAGAACTTACAAGTAGTTTGACTGTCTGTCTGCCCAGCATTAGACAAAAGGAAATATGAATTTAACACAAGATGACATTACAAAAGCCAAGGTGAGCAAAAGAGTCTCTCGACTGTTTTAAAAGATGTAGGAATACAGAACATCTATTTTCCACCACCAACAGCTCCTTAGAGAGTTCCGCTGTGTACACTTTCCACCTTTATTTTTTACATAGAGGTACTAATTTTGTCAAGAAAATCTTGAAAGACTTTTGAAAGGAAGGTGATTTTGGACTTTAAGGTTCTATAGAGTTTTTCTGGGTTGGCAGTAGAGGACAATGGCCATGGTTAAAAAACCAAGGGTTTTACAATCCATAGAGAAGTCAAGAGAGGGTAGTTGTTGCTTTGTGCCATCTAGTCAGAACTGACTTACGGCTTATCTTCCAGCAGGTTTTCTGAGGTAATAAATCACATGGGGAGAGATAGCTCACTCTTCTTCTGAAGACAATTCAAACTGTATATCTCTGGCATTGTAGCACATCTTCTTAAACAGTAGTTAGAGATCACAAAATTGCTGGGTGAGTTATTCTCCTCTGGTTCCCCAGAAGAGTCCTAGTTCTCCAAACTCTAATCCTTGCTTCTAGTCTAACCACATTCTAAGAGGAAAGAAAAGGTGTATCCACAGTCAGAACAGAACAAGGAAACATTGCATGGTTCAAAATTGGGAAGGATGTACGCCAGGAATTTGTCCTATCTCCATACCTTTTCAACCCATGTGCGGAACAGATTTTGCAGGAGGCTGGGTCTGTATGAGAAGTATGGGATCTTGATTGGTGAAAGATTCATCAACAATTTGCTTGCTGAAACTGAGGAGGACCTGAAGCACTTGCTGCAGAGTGTCAAAGACTACAGCCTTCAATATGGATTGAGGCTCAATATCAAGAAGACAAAGATTCTCACCACTGGGCCAATTGGCAGTATCAGGATGGATGGTGAAAAGATTGAGATTGTTCACAGCTTTAATTTGCTTGGCTCTACAGTCAACACTCTTGGCATCAGCAGTCATGAAATTAAAAGACATATTGCAATAGGAATGTCTGCTGTTAGGGACCTCTCCAAAGTACTAAAAAGCAATGGTGTCACTCTGGGGACTAAGGTGAGCCTGAATACAGGTCACAGTCTTTGCAATCACTTGCTATGCGTCAGACAGTTGGACAATGATAGGGGGGATAGAAGAAGAATTGATGTCTTTGAGCTGTGGTGTTGGAGAAGAGTATTGAATATATCATGGACTGCTAAGAAAACAAACAGGATTATCCTTGAGAGGGTTAAACTAGGCTGCTCCTTGGAGGTAAAGATTCTGAAGCTTTGTCTGATGTACTTTGAACATGTTTCAAGGAAGAACCAGTTCTTGGAGAAGGACGTCATGTTTGGGAGGGTGGAGGGACAACACAGGAGAGGAAGACCCTTTATAAGGTGGGTAGATTCAGTGACTGGTGTAATGTGGATAGGTGTATTGAAGACAGTGAGATTGGCAAAGGATAGATCAGCGTTTGGGGCTGTTGTACATAGGGTCTCTATGAGTCACAGGCGGCTTGAAAGCATATAACAACAACAACATAGCTAGAGAGACAAGACAACAAAATTGCATTATGGCCCAGTCAAGGAAACTCATATTTCCTTAATCAAACCAATCCCTGATGCCACCCCTGAAGCTAGGTCAACTAGCAGAGTGCCAGCCTTCTCAGAAGTGAAGCAATGTCTAGTGACAGCAATGCTTTCATGTGTTCATTGTCACTCTACCCCTTTAAAATGCACCAGTTCACTACCAGGGAGGTCTCAGAGCTTTCTGAATTGGCTCACAATTAGTTTGGAAAACTAAATTTTGTACAAAACAAAGCATCAAAGCATGAGATAATAAGAACAACTCTCTCTTATTGAGTGTTTAGCCACAACCCCATCTCACATTTTGCTAAGTGTTTTATAATCATATGACATAAAACATTAGGAGGTAGATTATCTGGTTGAATCAGTGGAGATTCAGAGAAGGTAGTACAGCTCGTCAGTGGTAAAGTTCAGAGCCTCATCATATACCATCCCTCTAAGAAGTTTAGGGAGCTCTGGATTCGCTTGTTGTACTCTACGCAAAGCCCAAGAACAGATTTAGGCCTTCTCCACAAGCTCTGACAAGGAGATGCTATTCTCTATTGCTCTTTTTAAATGCAAAGCATATAAAGGTTAACATATTCCAACTAGCATATGTTGTTGTTGTTGTTATGTGCTGTCCAGTCACTTACGACTCATAGCAACTCTATGTACAATATCCCTGAAATCTGCTCTATCCTGTGCCGACTTTACTGTCTCTGACACACCTACCTTCATTACCCCAGTCACTGAATCAATCCATCCATTGAGGGTCTTCTTCTCTTTCTCTGTCCCTCCACCCTTCCAAGCATGATGTCCCTCTCCAAGGACTGGTCCTCCCTTGAACACTTGAATTATCCTGACCTAGAGCTCTGAAGGAGCACAGCATGGCAATGGTGGGACATTTGAGCCTTGGAATGTAGCACTGCTATACTGTAAGCAAGAAGCACCAACTTGGTAATATCGAAACACACAACAAGCAATAAAATCAACACAAATGTAAAGATACCAAAAGGTAAGAGTATTTGGATGAGTCTGATGCTCTGATGCAGTTGATTTTGAGACCATGATGATTAATGATTTAAGAAATTTACACAGTATCAATGAGAAAGGCAACATGAAAAGGAATTTCTCTCCAGGTGATTTCATTTAATTTTTTTTATGATTCAATTTAGATTATGGTATTTTAAGTATCTGGATGCTTAAAGGCTTAAAGTTTAATAACATTACTTGACAAAGATATAAGACAGGACAGACATGCTTCCATCATGCTCATCTCATGATTAACAAGAAAACAAATCAAGAGAATTGGTGGATTACCTTTGGTCCAGGAAGTCCATGAGGTCCCTGAAAGTGGAAAACATAGATTTTAATTAAGAATTGATTCACTGCTTCAAAGAAGAAGTGCATATTTTGTAAAAAAGCAAAAAAGGTGTAAAATAAGAGTCTTGTTTGAGCTAATGCTAGATGCAGGAGAGTGGACTATTGACCTACTGACCATTCCCCTACATAGCGATGGTGGCACATCAGGAGCTACACTGTTAACCCAAAGGCTACATCTGTCTGGTAGTTCAAATCCACCAGCAGTTTTGTGGGAGAAAGATGGATAATCTCTCAGGTGATCGACGGCCTTGGAGATTCAAGCGAGGGTCAAGTTTAAGTTGGTTCTGACTTGGCAGCAATGAGTTAAAAAGTTTTTTGCAATTCTTGGATTCATGATGGAAATTTATTCCTAGAAATTCTGACCTTTAAACAGCAATGGCAGGGAGCAGGAGCTTTGCCAGGACTCTATGGATGGAAAAAAAGTATTTTGATTCTATTTTTACTCCTATCCCTCAATTTCCACTTTTTCATCTTGGTGAAGTATGAAATGTTTCATGAGTTTAAATGAAATACATGTAGGACTTAAAGGACATTAACTTGCCAAAGACAAGTTCCAGACTCTAATTATCACAGTTAAGAAGTTCTTTTCCATTACTAACTCCTCCAGATTCAAGGCATTGAGAAATATAAAGGAGGAAGGAAGTGGGAGATTACATTCAAGTTTGGGAAACTAATTAAATTTAAGATTAAGGGAAGGAGTCTAACATAGGAGGGCTCAGCATTATTATTCAGAATACTACATTTATCCAGACAAAATGAGTTCTTTTTAAATGTCTTTTTAAAATATATTTTATTATTATTATTAATTTTAATGAAAATTTACAGAGACTTTGGTTTTCCATTCATTCATTGTTGCACTTTTCTTCCCGCCCACGCCTCCCCCCAATTCACTCTTCTCTTTGAAAAGTAAAAAAAAAAACAAAAAAATTCTTTCATTGTTATACAGTCCCTCCCCCCCAAGTCTATGCAGCCTTAGTTCTGGACTCCTGTCAAGACAATAATACCTAATAATATATCCCTTTTAAACAGTTCTCTCCCTCATCTGTTTCAATGCAGTATATATTCTTTATCACATCTTTCTCAGCCTCCTCCCAACCCCGATGTCAGTCCCATTTTACAACAGTGGCACTATGCAGTATTTGTCTTTTTGTGGCTGAGATATTTCACTCAGCATAATGTCCTCCAGGGTCACCCATTTTGAATAATATTGCATGAATTCTTTGTTTTCCAATGCATATACCAGCTTCTCTATCCATCCGTTTGTTGATGGGCAACTCTTTGCTATTATGAACAAAGCTGCGATAAACCTGGGTGTGCATTTATCTGCTTGGGTAGCAGTTATGGTCTTTTTGGGGTACATTCCCAGTAATGGAACTGCTGGGTCAAATGGAATTTCTATTTCCAACTTTTTGAGAAAGTGCAATACAGCCTTCCATAGTGATTGCACCATTTTACAGCAGTGAATAAGGGTTCTAGTTCCTCCACAGTTTGCTGTTCTGTTAAATTTTGCTATTCTTACTGCGGTGAGATTATATTTCATAGTTGTTTTGATTTGCATCTCTCTTAGAGCTAGGGATTTTGAACATTTCTTCATGTATTTGTTCGCCATCTGTACGTCTTCTATGGTGAAGTGTCTGTTCATATCCTGTGCCCAGTCTTCAATTGGATTTGTTTACCTTTATCTTGTTGTGTCTTTTAACAATTGTTTATAAATTCAGTGAAGGCAATATGTGAACATGAATCAGGATTGTTGTTGTTATGTGGAGTTGAGACAAGAACCTCATAGTTACCCTATGCACAATAGCTCTGAACCCTTCCCTATTGTGAGACAATCTCACTGTCTCCAACATATTAGTGTCTCCGACACTGTCTCCTCATTATCACAGTTGCTATGTCAATCTATCACATCCTGGGTCTTCCTCTCCTGCACTGTTCCTTCATCTTTCCAAGCATGATGTCCTCCTCCAAGAACTGGTCCCTCCTGCCCACATGCCCAAAATATGTGAGACAGAGCTTCGAATTTCTTGCCTCCAAGGAGCAACTTGGTTTCTCCCTCTCCAGGATAGAATTGTTTGTTCTCTTAGCAGTCCATGGTCTGTTACATCAGGGTATAAACCAAATAGTTTATGTAAATTCAAAATATAGAGATTAATAAGTTAACTGAAATTAACTTGTTGTTGTTGTTAAGTGCCGTCGAGTCGCAGGTGACTCATAGCGACCCTATGAAGGAGAGTCCTTGATGCTTGGGTGCCTTTCATCCTCTCTCCAGGTTCATAGGGTTTCCGGAGGCAAGCTATTATGGAAGTGGATGCCATTCCTCCTTCCAAGCTTGAAATTAACTTAAACTTACTTAAATATTTCAAATTATTTAAGTAAACTTTTTAGGGAAAGGAGTGTGTGAATGTTCATAAGATAATACAAGACCAGGAAAAAAGTTCCTTATCAAACAAGGCAAGGATGTTTTTAGTATATGTCTACATTAAGATAAGTTTGTGAATAAACATTTTCAAGGAATGGCAATTGCTTAAATAATTATTCTTATCTCATTTTAATAATGGTTAAAATTCCATTTACCTAATTAATTTTATAATATGAACAAGATATAACCTGTCCTATTTAACCTTCTAACTTAAAGTGAAGGGTGTATAAAGAAAGAAACCCTTAAAGTATGTTATTTACTTCTTAGTAAGCAGTTTCATTATAAGCAAATAAAATCTGCTGTGACTATTTTGTGCTATAAGATAAACATAATAGTAAGAGCTATTTTTCTTTAAGGAAACACAGAAAGAAGATTGATCCAATTTATTTCATGCACATGAATGAAGGTATTTGGTTTGTTCAGGCATCAAATGCAAACTTTTAGTGTGTCTATCTGGCATTAATATTATTATTATTCAGTCATAAGTACTCGAAGCATTCTAGCTTGACAGAACTGTCACTAAGACTCAGAGAAAATTAATACTTGTTAAAAAATTATCTGGTTGGTGCTATTTGTGTTTGGCTATTCATTGTGGCTTCATTATGGATGATGTCCTTTATATCATGCCCCAACTCATCTGGTCTATCATTGGTGTTCAATACCTCAAACCTATTCTTAAGATGATCATGAAATTCTGACAGGATTGACTCAAGATCATAGCCTTTTTCCTGTGGACTTATTTTAATTTTCAATTTGAACTTGTATCTGAGTAATTGATGAGCTGACCCACAGTCTGCCCCAGGCATACTTTTGACTGCTGATACTGAGCTTCTCCGACAATTTTTTCCACAAATGTAATCAATCTTATTCCTATGTAGCCCATTGGGTGAAACTCACATGTAAAGTCTTCTTTAGTGTCTTTTAGAAAAGTGTTTGCAATGAATAAATCATTGTAAATACAAAATTCAATCATTTTCTCTCCAGCCTCATTTCCATAGCCAAACCCGTATTTCCCAACTGCTGTGCCTTCTTTACTGTTTCTTCCTTTTGCATTCCAGTCACCAATTATCATTAATGCATGCTGATTGCATGTTTGGTCAATTTCAGACTGCAAAATTTGGTAAAAAAATTTGAAACAAACAAGGGAGAGAACTGTATAAAAGGAATATATGATTAGGTATTATTGGCATGACAAGAGTCCAGAATAAGGGCCGCATACTAAAGTGGACTAGTGGTGAGAATTGTATAGCAATGAAAGAATTTTTTTTTTCCAAAAGAAAAAAGTGAACTGGGGTGGGGGGATAGGGGATAGGGAGGAAAATGTGCAACAATGAATGAATGAAAATCCAAGTTCTCTATAAACTTTCATTAAAATCTCAATAAAAAAGGGAAAAACGATTTTCAATTTCTTCCCCTTTGACACTTGTTGCAGAAGATCAAGGAATGCAGCCTTCATTATGCATTGTGTCTCAATATCAAGAAAACTAAGATTCTTACCACTGGACCAATAGGTAGTATCATGATGAATGGAGAGGAGACGGAAGCTGTCAACAGCTTCATCTTGCTTGGATCTCCAATTTACCCTTGGTACCAGCAGTCAGGAAAAAAGGAGACACATTGCAATGAGAAAATCTGTAGTTAGGGACCTTTCCAAATTATTGAGGAGTAATGATATTAATTTGAGGACTAAGGTGAGTCTGATTCAGGCCATGGTCTTTCTGATTAGTAGCTATGCATCTGGGACCTGGATAATGAATAAGGATGACAGAAAAAGAAGTGATGCCTTTGAGCTGTGGTGTTAGAAAAGAGCACTGAACATCCCATGGATGGCCAAGAGAATGAACAGATATATCTTGGAGAGGGTACAGGCAGAGTGCTCTTTGGAAGCAAAAATGATAAGGTTTCGCCTCACATACTTTGGATATCTTGCTAGGATATGCTATTCCTTGGAGAGAGACATGATGTTGGGAAAGATGGAGAGTCAGTGAAGGAGAAGAAGTCCCTTAATCAGGTGGACTGACATGGTGACTGCTGCAGTGGGCTCTTGTGTGTCATCAGGAAGCATGAGGATGATGCAGGTCAGGACTAGGTTCAGATCTTTTGCTCATAGTATTGCTATGAGTTGTACTGGACTTGATGGCACCTAACAACAACAACAACAACAACAACAACAACCAGCACCTTTATTATGGCAGGCAATGTATAAGAATGACAGAAGAACTGATGCCTTTGACCTGTGGTGTTGGAGCAGAGGACTGAATATCCCATGGCCGGCCAAGAGAACAAACAAGTATGTCCTGGAGGAAGCACAATCATGGTTCTCCTTAGAGGTAAGAAGGGCAAAGCTTCTTCTCACATACTTAGGACATGTTACCAGGATGTGCTACTCTTTGGAAAAAGGCACAGTGCTCAGAAAGGTGGAGGGTCAGTAAAAGAGAGGAAGACAGACCCTGAAAGAGGTGGATTGGCACAGTGACTGTAACAGTGAGTTCAAGTGTATCAGAGATGATGAGCATGGCACAGGTTAGGGCAAGGTTCAGATCTGCTCTTCACAGGGTGCTATGAATTGGAGTCAATTCACTAGCACCTAACAACAACAACAATCAACTGAAGTGTTGGCAGTTTGAAGCTACCCTGCGGTACCACAGAAGAAAGGCCCAGTGAGCTGCTTCTGTAAAGACTGCGGCCAAGAAAACTCTATAGAGAAGTTCTATTCTGTAACATATGAGTTTGTCTTGAGAGTGAATTGACCTGATGGTGTCCTCACTAGTCATCAGCTCTATGGGGACAGAGTGACTGGTCTTTATTGGCCATAGAGAGACCTAGTGAACACCATCCTTGTGTGAAGATGATGTGGTAGAGGCATCTGACTGCCTCCTCAAGCTTCACAATGGGGAGTGAGAATCAAGGTCAACATCAATAGTACCTCAAGGCTCATTCTGCTGAAGTTAAAGTCTGATGTATCTCCTATTCTCCTACCTTTTCACCAAATGTGACATTGAGTGGATCATTGTACATTACTTGTGCTTCTTTGTGGGGTTCGAAAAGTTGTTACAATGGCCACAGGGAACTAAAACCATACTCAGAGTTAAGAGGTTTGTTAAGGAAGTTGTTGGTGCGTGCTATCTAGTTGGAAGTTACTCAAAGCTGATCTTCCAGTGGATTTTCAGAGGCACCAAATCACACAGGGACAGAATGCCCATCCTTCGTCCACGGAGCAGCTGGTAGATTCAAGCTGTGTGCCTTTGGAATTCCAGCACAACTTCTTACCACTAGGCCACTATTAAGGAAGTTGCTTTTGTTGTATACTGGAGATAGTCAGAACCTACTCACAGCTGACCCTCCAGTGGTTTTTAAGAGGCAGTTAATCATATAGGAGAATATAGTCCATCTTTCTCCCACAGAACAGCTGGTGGATTTGAACCACATACCTTTTGGTACTATTAAGGAAGTATTAGTTCAAAATTTAGGATCAGAAACAACTCAGGATACAGCCCTTCAGTTAGTACAGCTTCTCAGCCAAGCTCACAGGCAGGCTTCTTCACTGCCTTTGGTCTCCCAGCCCCTTGAGCCTCTGAGGACAGCTCTGATCAAGCAAGTGACACAAAGCTCTTTAGCTCCACCAATAAGGGACACCCCATTCTACCAGCACCCCTCCTTCCTGAAGAAGTTCATTTCTCTCTGTGGGCTATCCAACTATGTTCTATCATGTATCTGAAGACACTCCACTCAACCAGAAAGCTCCTTTCTTACAGTGCTTAGTTATCTTGATCCATTGGTTAGCATACCCAACACTGCTGATAAAGGTCCAGAGGCATTTCATTTCATCAGGAAATCTCTTGGCCAAAAGCATTCAGCTGTCTTCCACCATGGCTCGGTGAGGCCTTATTATACCAAGTGTTCAAATGTACCCCACTTCACAAGGGAGCCTCCTCCCCAGAGGTACTCATTTATCTCACTCCATAGGTCAGGAAGTCCACTGTGCTTGTTTCATGCAGGTAGCCTGGTTCTACTGCTCCTATTGTTATCTTTTCTCTGCTTATACTTTTTGCCATCTCTTACCATATCCAATTCTCTGCTGCCTTAGTCTAGGAGGCTCCAAGCGTAAGGACCTGGAGTCCAAAGGAAGCACACTCACTCTTGTCTCTTCCCCTTAGTGGCAGTCAAGTCTCCTCTTTCTGTCTTATGGATGGCTCCTTTTAAGTCTAGTTGGATGACAAAACTAATCAATCTTCTATTTAGGGTTCCATGTATAGTTGATTTCACATTCAAGCAAGATTCTGCTGAAGATTATCCAAAAACGACTGCAACAGCACATCAGCAGAGAACTGCCAGAAGTCCAGGCTGGGTTTAGAAGGGGTCATGGTACTAGGGATATTGTAGCTAATGTTAGATGGATCTTGGCTAAAAGCAGGGAGTACCAGAGGACTGTCTATCTGTGCTTCATTGATTATGTAAAGGCATTTGACTATGTGGACCATAACAAATTGTGGCTGACTCTGAGAAGAATAGGAATCCCAGAACACTTGATTGTGCTAATGCGAAACCTATACTTGAACCAAGAGGCAGTCATCAGAACAGAGCAAGGAAACACTGCATGGCTCAAAATTGGGAAGGGCATACGCCAGGGATGTATCCTGTCTCTGTACCTTTTCAACCTGTATGCAGAACAGATCATCTGGGAGATTGGGTTCTATGAGGAGTAATGCGGCATCAGGATTGATGGAAGATCTATCAACAATCTGCGTTATGCAGATGACACAACCCTTGTGCTGAAACTGAGGAGGACCTGAATCACTTGCTGCAGAGGGTCAAGGACTGCAGCCTTCTATATGGATTGATGCTCAATGTCAAGAAGACAAAGATTCTCACCACTGGACCAATTGGCAGCATCAGGATGGATGGTGAAGAGATTGAGAATGTTCACAGCTTTAGTCTGCTTTGCTCCACAGTCAACATTCTCAGCACCAGCAGCCAGGAAATTAAAAAAATGTATTGCAATGGGAAAGTCTGCTGTTAGGGACCTTTCCAAAGTACTGAAGAGCAAAGGTGTCTCTCTGGAGACTAAGGTGTGTCTGATACAGGCCATGGTCTTTGCAATAGCTTGTTATGCGTCAGAGAGTTGGACAATGACTAGGGAGGATAGAAGGAGAAATGATGCCTTTGAGCTTTGGTGCTGGAGAAGAGTATTGAGGGTACCATGGACTGCTAAGAAAACAAGCAGTTTCATCCTGGAGAGGGTTAAACCAGGCTGCTCCTTGAAGGCAAGTATTCTGAGGCTTCGTCTGACATACTTTGGTCATGTTGTAAGGAGAGACCGGTCCTTGGAGAAGGACATCATGCTTGGTAGGGTGAAGGGATGGCGCAGGAGGGGAAGGCCCTTTAGAATGTGGATTGATTCAGTGACTGGGATAATCTGGATGAGTGTGTCGGAGACAGTGAGATTGGCACAGGACAGAATAGAGTTTAGGGCTGTTGTACATAGGGTCGCTATGAGTCGGAAGCGACTCAACAGCATATAACAACAACAACAACAACAATGTCCTCTTGGTGTGGTTCCACTCAGGTTCTCACCACCTTATTTAGAATATTAGAAAACTGCTCACTCCCATTGGTGGACCAATAGTGACAGTAACAATGGCCTCGAATGTACCAGACATCAAGAGGATGGCTGAGAATAGGACAAGGTCCATTATCTGTAGTTCACAGGTAAAAGATATAGTTTACATATTCCCACTCAATCATTTACAGACAAGCCCTATACAAAAATGACCCATTGCACCACATTCTGGCCCAATGCATCGCCAAAAGGGCCACACAACAAAAAGGAAAAGACCTAGAAATACAGGACATCTGTGGAAGAAAGGTTCAGTTTTAATAACACTATTTTATAAATATTCTTAGGGAATATTTTATTTAAAAAAAATCAAACTCCAAAGCTAGTTAGACACATGGCTACAATGATTACCTTATTTGTCTGTGGAAAAAAAAAATCCCCAAAACTAGAGACGTAGTTGGTTAAAATCTTTGCCAATGTTCATTCCACAAGATTGGAGTAACACTCGCCAGTACTAGCTGTCTTTCTTCAACTCAGTGTTCACAAAACTACTCTTTCCAACATATGTGGTTGAGGGAGTGAAAGCCAACACCGTAAAGTCAACACATCTCAAAGTGTCTCGTATTTTCTGTGCATTCCACAGAGGGTCGTACAGCACACAAGCTGGCTATTTTGAGGGATGTGTTCGTGTTTTCTCTAGCAGCACGCTCATAAATAAACAATTACATTATGGAGGGAAGAGGAACTCACCATGGGGCCTGGTGGGCCATGGGGACCTGGTGGGCCTGGTGGGCCTATGATCTGTATGTCCAAAACACAAACATAGATTTGGTTACTTCCCCAAGATAAGGCAATTCAGCTGGATTCCCGGGCTGGGGTTCTGCTAAGGTCATTAATAATGACAGAGGAAGAAGGAGACTGGAAGAAATGATGCATTTTACTCTCTAGGTTTAGAATTCCTTCAGAAGGAAAACAACAAATTTTTAAAAACCCTTACATAAATATAGTTGTTCTACAAAAGCCAGAATAAATCAAACGTACATTAAAAGAAAAGGAAGCAACTGATTACCGAGAAATGTTATAATGCCACAACCACTATTAAATTCTCAAATATTTCACTAAGTAGAAACAGGGCTCTGGAGAGAAAAAGGATGTATATTCTGTACTGACAGGCCTCTGCCCACAGGGCGGTGGGGAAACCATGGGATTTCTTCTCAATATGGGGCAGTCTTCTAAAAACCCACTTCCAACTGGCCCTCTGAGACCCTTTGTCTCTCCTTGTCCAAGGCTGACAGATATTTTTTTGACACTTTGACAAACCAAGAGGTTCAGGGTCTCTACTGTCGATAAGCTATCTGCCACAGGTTTCACTAGCTCAATAATAGGCCTGTTCAGTGTATTTCAGAAACCATGGAAGTTCAACCACCCGGACTTACGGAAGGACCCTGGGGACCCGGCAGTCCGGAGTCTCCTTTCTCTCCTTTCATTCCATTGGCACCCTACAAATAACCATTACACACAGTTCAGCCAGTGAAAGTCATATCCATCAAGCAAGAAGCAATTGCATTTTCTTCCCAAACCCAACATCCTGTTAAGAATTTTACAGTATTATACACATGCTGTATTAAGAAATTTCTTCCATTTTAGCCCACAGCAGGAAGCTTTCCAAAAGCCCCAGGACTGTGGGTGCTTTGTGGCAGTATTATGGAAGTAATACGGATGTGATTTAATTGGTTAAACGGATTCATTGTTAAGTATATAGGTTATAGACGTATTCTTTTTATGGTAAAGTATATCTGAAACAGAGCAATTAAGTCTTTTATATCTTCTTGCCACGTATTTATATATTTCCTGTTTTTGTTTTTGTTTATTTTATTTTTATTACTATCTTTTATGTGTGTACTGTCAAATCAGATCTGACTGGTACAGGAGGTGATTATTCCTCCTTCTTCAGCAGAGCATCTGGTGGATTTGAACTGCGCACCTCTGGGATTGCAGTGCAGCTTCTTGCCACTAGGCCACCAGAGCTCGCCTATATACTTCCTGTTTTTTTTAAAAAAATATCTCCTTGCTACATTTTTCCCCTCCAAATTTTGAGTTATTAAGGAACGAAAGAAAAATCTTATAAAAATCATCTTACAGTATCACAGAAAGGCTATATTTTGCATACTTTCTTATTTTAAAATGTATGCTCATTTTTTTTTACTATGGCTTATTTCATAAAAATCAATATCATGACTAAATTAAGATTAAATTAATTTCTTCTCCATTTTCTATTAAAAATAACACAATATTATTTTATAATTTACCTGGGTAGATGTTTTAAAATGAATTCCAGTGCATCAGTGGTACTAATTAACCAGTAACACCTCAACAGTTTAAAAATAGAATGCTACATGAACCACTCTAAGCCTTCAAATGATAATTCTGATTACTGTAAGAACACGTTTTAAAAACTATAAACATACCGGCAGTCCAGGAAGTCCAATTCCTCCTTTTTCACCTGCCATACCTGGGTCCCCCATGTCTCCTTTAGAGCCTTTGAACCCCTAGAAATAATATGGTTTCATGTAAAAATCATACTGGTCCCAAATAACTATATTGTATATAAAACAATTCCAGATCAATTTTACTACTAATAAAGGGATGCCATGCAGAAATGGAGTAAGAGAAAGATATATAATCTCCTTCCATACTATTTACAGCCTCTGAAAATCCACTGAAGGGTCAGTGATAGTCAGTTCTGACTTGATGGTACGTCAACACCAACAGCAACGACCCAGAAACGGGAGTTCCTGAGTGGCGCAAGAGGTTAGAGTGCTTAGCTGCTAGCTGAAATTTGGAAGTTTGAATCCACCTAGATGTTCCTCAAAAGTAAGTTCTGGTCATGACTTACTTCTGGAAAAACCCCCATGAGTCCTTGAAAACTGCATGGAGCCTATTCTACTTCGACACGCATGGAATCATTGAGTTGAAGCCTACTCAACAGTAAGCAGTTTATGCTGAAATAATTTTCTTTTTAAGGTATCAAAACCGCATTTCCATATGCTGGAACTGCCTCATAGTAGACCTTCCAGCAGGCTTTCAGAGGCTGTAAATCACACAGGAGGTGCTGTGGAACCACTGGTGGATTTGAATGGCAGAGAGGTGTAACCCTTCGGTTTGCAATGTAACTTCTTATGGACTATTTCTTAAGGTGACCTTCCACATTTATCACCCTCATAATCAATACTGTTTTCTCATGTAATGAAAGAGATTAAATTCTATTGTTGTTGTTATGTGCCATCGAGTCTCCTGTGACTCATGTATCTCATGTACAGCAGCTCTGAAGCCTGCCCTGTCCTGAGACATTTTCTGACTCTGACACATCAACCCCCATTACCCCAATCACTGAGTTAATCCATCTCATCCAGGGTCTTTCTCTCCTGCGTTGTTCTTCCATGCTTTTAAGCATGGTGTCCTTCCCCAAGGACTGGTCCCTCCTAGCCACATGGCCAAAGGATGTGAGATCGAGCTTCAAAATTCTACCCTCCAAAGAGAAACTTGGTTTCACCCTCACCAATAACAGACTTGTTTGTTCTCTTGGCACTCCATGGTATACTCATTAAAAATAAGCATAGACCATTAAAATGAGACATATAAATTTCTGTTTTGCAGGAGTTACCCCCAATTTCTTATTTTTACTGAGCAACTGATTGAATCATGTAAACAATATTGAAAATTATTTAAAGGGCTTAATTCTCAACAGTACAAGAAATACTTTGACATGAAGGCCTAATGTTAAAACAAAGGTACAAACGAATTTCTCCCACCCACCACAGCCAGAAATTCTAGTCACCATCTCTATGCTTGGGTCTCAACTTGTTATTGTTCATGCTGTTGAATTGGAACCAATTGATAGCTGACCCCCTAGAGGGATTTCCTTCTCCCATGGAGCAACTGGTGTATTCAAACCTATGCCTCTGGGATTGAATGATGAACGGTAACTGCATAGAAAACCCACTGTACTTAATGGCAGGAGATCTTATAAAACCTATATTCTCTGAATCCAGTAAGGTATATTAGTGGCTATGGCATGTAACTTTTTTTACGCTATTTATAATTAACAACAAGGGGGAAGTAAGAAAGCCAAAATAAGGTAATCTAATATAATCTCAGATTGATATTACAAATTATATAAAGTTTCCTTTTTCTAAACTATGACATGTTCATTTTATGTGGTATTACACAATTTCAGCAAATCACTGATCTTTTAAAAAATTTATTCTATGAATGGAAATCCAAAATCTCTGTAAATGTTCATTAAAATCAATAAAATAAAAAATTATTCTAAATTTAATATTCTTATGTAATAACTTTTTGCTGAGAAGTGTAAGATTCACTATTTCTTTTTTTTAATTTTTTTTAAGATTCACTATTTCTAACTATAATCCTCTTGATTTCTTCTGGTCATCCTGATGTTAGCTACTTTTTGTTAAATAAAGGAAACCCAAAAATATCAAAGATCTTGACACTAACTCTTATGATTCAATTCTGAATTCTGAGTCATGTCCATATTTCTTGGTCAGTGTTTTCTAGGCTTAGCACTCAGCTACTATGACTGGTACATCAGTTTGTGATTGCTTCTATATTGACTGGAGTGTTTGGGGCTTTTTTGACATTTTAAAAGGTTTTGGTATTTTAAAAATGCAACAGAGACCATATATGGCTTGCAAAGTCTAAAACATTTATTATATATCTGGTTCTTCATGGAAAAAAAATTGCTGACTCTTGTTTTAGTACACACCCTTTGAGAGACATCACAACACTCCACAAAGCTTCAAGTGCCTGATTGAACTAGAAAGGCAGGTGCAATGTAAAAAAACAACAAAATAAAAGCAAGAACAACAACAACAATACCAGAAACCAAAATAAAGCCATGAACAATACCTTATTTTGTGGAATACACAATCTCTAGTTTTAAACTTGATATAATTCACATTAACTGGCAAAAATCAGGCAGATTATTCTCAGTAAATTAGTAATGATCTTAAAATCAGTTAAAATTTCATGGGGAGTCATTGGTAGTTTGAAGAGGTATATTAAGCACAAGATGAAAGCATTTATGTCTCTCCAGGAAGAAACTGGACATCTTATATGAAACAAACTGCTTCATACCGTTAATAAAATTTCCAAGGTAGATGGTGGGAGAAAAAGCAGAATCATATATCAATGCTTGTATCTTCTTGGCTACAAACTGGTAATAAAATAAAAGATGATTCCTTAGATGATAGTGAATTTCTTTGAAATTTACCTGCTCTCCGTCAGCTCCTGGGATTCCTGGAGACCCTGGCTCTCCCTGTGAAGATAAAAGAGAATGGCTTGTCTTGTTTTATCACTGGTGGCAAGCTACATTAAGTGAAAAATGATGCTGGTTTGTGATTTGTGATGTGATTTGCCCTTTTGCATATGCTTATCAGTTAAAGTATATACTTTGATATACATATGTATATGAAGTACATAACTCAGTGAGGTTACATTTTCTTTAAGATTATGTATAATAATGCTTGTGTTTAACACAGATTTACTCCCCCCTCCCCCCCACATAGGAATACAAGTGATACAAAATCAAAACAATAATAATTATAAGTCAACTGATATGGATTATTTGATGGTAGACTATATCCTATAGGAAAAGCCTATATCTCTGTTTGTTAATTTTTTTCCTTAAAAGTATAGACATTTTATCTTACCTTCTAGTATGAGGAAAAAAATATATAATGAAACCAAGAAAGAATAAGATGCAGACCTTCAAAATTTACAATAATATTTTAACTGGCACAGTTTGAACAGATTAATAATCATTGGGAATGTGCTATTTATAAGAAAAGCCTCACTGAAGGATATAATAAATCAACTAGTATCTTAATCCATATAATATTACTTTTGGATCAATTTTCATTTCCAATACTACGCTAGAAATGTACTAAAATTTACTGTTTCTGTTATGATTTTTTATAATCCTGGACAACCCCAAAGAAACATATTGACGTTCTTTTTAAATTTTTTTTTTCAAATTTAAGACATTCTGTTACAAGAAAATTTAATCAGTCAGAATTTCATGCAAACAACAAATGTCTGATCACCTTTCACTTTGAAAAGTAAGCAAAAACCAAATTCCTTGAAAGGCTTAATATTAATTTACGTCAATATAGCATTTATTCAGATCTCATTACAGCAATTTCTGATTTCCATATTTTGGAAAGTTTGCATAGACACTATTCTTATTGTGAGTGGCTTGCCTCCCAGACAGATTTCCTAGGGAGTTGACATGAGGCTGTAGTTTCAAGAAAGGCTCTTTGGTGACATTATAAACCACAATACTGAAATGGCTAGAGCTCCTTTTGCTGTTAAAAACTTTAAGAGCCACAGGCCACAACATGAAATTTGAGCTTGCCAATGTTTAAAGAAGGCATGATCTTGTGGTTTCGAATGAATGAAATAAAAAGAGTGGAGGAAAAACGTCTTTCCTTCTTTCTGACTTCCTGCTCTTTGTGGTAGCAGCAAAGTTTATTTTGCCACAAACAAGTCTGCTGAGGTTGGATGCACCTGGCTAACGCCTCACTTCTTTCAGAGTCTGGATCCTTTTCAGCACTCTGGGTCCAGTAATGATTGCTTCACCAAACTTTTACCTTTAAAATGCGACTAAGGAGAGTTTAAAGAGAAACACAATTCATGAGTGATTAATTCATTTTCCCTTTAACTCTCCAATGTTGTTTATAAAGAGTTACTTGATGCTTAAGAAACAACACTAAAGAGTGCTTTGGTGTTAAAGAAATAGTAGTTATTTGCTAAAGAGGGAGGGAATGATATCAGAACAGATTCCCATCGAGTCTTGGAAGAAATGTGGCTGCAAAGATCTTAGAAACCAAAGGTGATGGGACTTCTCAAGTACTGTGGACATACTATCAGGAGGGAGAATTACCTGAAGAAGGACATCATACTTGATAAAGTAGAGGGTTAATGAAAAAGTGAAAAAAGAAAAAGTGAAAGATTCTTAATGAATTGAATTCACATGGTAACTACAAAAATGAGCTCAGGCACACCATAAAGTGTGAGGATGGTTGTGGTGTTAAGACTTTTGAAAATGGCTTTTATGACTGCTGTGAGATAAAGTTTGTCAGATGAATGAGGAAGCCAGAGTCTACTTGCATTCGTTGTCAGATTGAATCTGAACTTTCACTTGGTGATTGGGAAGCTGTCTGAAATAACTGAGAAATTGTGGATGCTCACCTGGTTAGGGACTACAGGACTAAACTTGGACTTTCACTGTATGATAGTCTTCGTCTTCCAAAGTCCCTAACCTATCTCCCTAACAAGCCCCCAAAATTATGAGTAAAGTACTATCTGTGAGTCAACTTGCAATGATGAACATCAGATCTAGCAACTAGTGAAGCAGAAGCAGGAATATGAAGGACCATGTCTGACCTGAGAGCCATTTGTTTGGAATTGTGGGTATATAGATGGGGACAATTCTCCTTTATGAGGCTGGCAGAAGACAGACTTGGCTTTCCCCACATTGCTGTTGCTCCTTTTCCAATGGTACAGCATCAAGAGTGTTTAATTCTGTTGTACATAGGTTGCTATGAGTTGGAGTCGACTTAAGGCATCTCACAACAACCACCTAATTTATGCTGAATCTCCTGATTCTAGATCTCAGTCACTTTTCACTCCATTCCTCTTAAGGAGAGATTAGGGACTAAAGAAAGGACTAAATAATCTAAACAATGGTATAAGTATATAAATATGTTTAAGTGAATGGAGAAAAATGCATCTTTTGAAGGCTTAAATCTCCCCCCGCCCACTTTTCCTTCAATTTTTCAGTTATAAGATCAGTGTGAGGGTATATGGAATGGGCTGGAGGAAACCGTAATGAGAAGGATGAAAGGCATCTGGGGTAAAGGGAACCTGACTGATCCTCTCTCTACATATTACATTGTCTAGAACGTCATCGAGTCTGTCTTTCTCCCTTAGCTTGAAGTCATCCTTGACACCTAGTTTGAGAAGGAAACGTCTCTATGTGTCTTTTCTCACTTAATCAGAGCACATATTCTATTAAGGTTTATTAATAAAATAGGTCTCTATGTGGCTGGCTTCCTCCATAGACTGTAAGGTGATTGCTGAAAATATTACTATAGACCTTAATAGGGTAGCGACTCAGTATGATTTATTGTATAAGTATATTCTAAAATAAGAGAGATGTAGGATGCACTGATACAGCTTTTTTATTTTTTCTTCTTTTTGCTACACAGACGTTTTTGTCTTTTTTCGTTCAAAGGACAAGTGTTCCATGGGCTTCTATGGACCGTAGGGGGGAAAATAAATTCTAGGATCTTTTCAGGTTTTCGAGGAATGAGGTCTGTATTTAGGTTTAGGACAATGTTGGCTGTGGAAATTTAGTCAAGATGACAGTCTAGGAAACAAAACAAGGAACTTAGACATTTGTTAAGTCTATATGGAGGAAGGACAGGTACTTTGGTGGCTTGATGGTAAGGAGTTGTGCTACTAAATCAAAGGAGAGGGGTTCAAATCCACCAGCCACTCTGTGGGAGAAAGACGAGCAATTCCTCCTCCATGATTTACAGCCTCTGAAAACTACTATAGGATCAGGTATGAGTTAGTTCTGATTTTATGGCACATAACAACAACAACATATGGAGGACATGGAGATTTGTGGATTTCCTTTGAGGTTGTCGAGTCCAGCTCCCCAAGATATTAAAGAATAAGGATCCAAGCCAACCTACTGTCTAGGTGAAAAGGAGAGAGAGAGAGAAAGACAGAGAGGGAGAGAGAGAGAGAGAGAGAGAGAATGTGTGTGACATGTCTTAGAGATCAGAATGTGGTAGAGAAAGAAAAATAAACATACCAAACTCACAGTAATGTTATATATGCAATCTGTTGGAAATGAGGATTTACATTTTAATACAATTTACAAAGGCAAGGGTTTTGGTAATATTTTACTATCACAATATAGAAACCTGATGTTAATTATTTAGAGAGAAAAGCGCAAAAGCTTAGGGATGGGGTGTGTGTGTATTGGACTTTGAAAATAAACTTAAGAAGTGTAAATAAAAGATGAATTTTGAAACCTTGTGAATCCAGTGACGAAAGTAGTATTTCAACACATGTAGCTTAACCATGCTGAAAAGCTAGAGTGACCAGCCATGTGTTAATTGATCAAACATGGTTGAATAACTAAGCTTTAGTTTAAAAGGATGAAGCCACCACCACCACCACCAAATTTTAGATATAATCCAACAGTTTTGGATTTCAGTTGTTTGTAGTTGACATGTTTTAATTGTTAAGATACAAATAGTAGAATACCTGAATATGCATAATAAGGAAATATGCTACTAAAACTAATTTCTAAATTTTCATTTGTGAAATGCATCATACTAAAGTATTCCTTGTTTTATTAATTATTATTATTACAAAAAAATAAAATGGCGTTTTTTTTGACTCAGGGTAAATTTCTCTACATTTTCCTCCCTTTAAGTAATTTCCATTTTTTCATACATTTCATTTTTTGTTTCTTTATACTTCTAAATTATTACACAACTAGATTTATCTTTTGATTAATATAACCCTATTTCAATGTCCTTCTTTAAATTCAGTGGTGTTTGTTCTTTATCTCCCTACTTTTCCAGTTTTCTTTTTTTCCTGATCTCTCTTCCTTCAATCCAATTTTCAATTTCCCCCCCTTAATTCTCTTCTAAGACAGTGATGGTCTCAGTTTATCAAACATTTTCTCCTCCTCCACCCTCCTATTTTTTTCCTTTTAAAGTTATGCATTTTTAATTGGTTTGCATACATTCACATACATAATTTTTTATATGTAGATTGTGTTTTATATAGTAATTTATATACATTACATTTTATTATTTTTTCTCCAGCATTTTTAAGGTCTATTTTCAAATACCCACATAGATAGTTATTGATAGGGCATTTCTTGCACTGTGAATATGTAGTAAATGGAAAAAGTGAAATAAAATAGAAATAACCTTAGGCCCTTGTAGTCCTTGAGGTCCAGGAGGTCCAGGGGGACCCTAAATAAAAAAAAGACAATATTTTTAAAAGGAGCAGGTATATGTATCAAAATGCATGTTTTTAATTACAAGCATAACCACATGTCTCTTCTATCAACAGAAAATATTTCCCAAAATTGATTTGCAATGGGAGAAAATGTCACAGATTGTCAATTATAAAAATTACTTGTATGCTAACCTATTAACCTATTTTAGTCAAAACAATGTAGAAGCAGTGTTTGGAATGGATTAATTCTGCAAGACAATGTAAAACTGTGGTCATATCCTTCATTCATCTTCTTATGATAAATTAGCCTCCCTATGTTCCATAAATCTCCCCAGAACATTTTTAACTCCCAAACACTGAAGGGAAATCTATTTTATTATGACAAGAATAAAGACTTCTAAGAAAAAGAACAATAAGGGTTTATTTCCCAACTTTTTAAATAACCAAACACAATAATTCAACTGAGACAACATGTCACTCTGATTATTAATACTAAGAAACATAAACATCAGATAAAAAACAACTGTTACATTTGTAGTATTATTAATGGCATGCATTGACACAAAATTGAAAGTCACAGAACACAGAAATCATGCAATAGGAGTTACCGTGACAGTTAAGGTGGTAATCCTCTGTTGGAAGAATGTATTGACAAAGAGATAGTTACCTATTTTGTGTACCAAAGTATAATTATTCATTTTTAAATAACTAATTTTCAGAATATGTTTTGGCAAGTCTCCTGTCTTATGAGAAATTGACAAAATACTAAGAAGATATTGAAACTATTATCATAGCTCCAAAGGAAACCAATATGGTTATAAATATTTTCTAAAAATTATTTTTTGAATGGTATTTAAAGAAATTCATGGATGATGACAACAGAAATTATCAGAGTTTTAAATAAATAATTTTAAAAAAATATTTAGTCACAAATGTATGCAATTTACTAAACTGTATGTTGAAATGATGTCACAAGTCTGTGTTTTATTTTGTGTGTTCTCAAACAAAAAAAATTAAATAAATTTTAAAAGTATTTAGTAAAGTATTATACTTTAGAGGCCCATCAATTATACTGTGAACTGAAAAGACTGTAGCAGTTATAAAAAATCTATTGTAGAGAATACACTGATTAGAGAAAACAGAAATACCAATTACATAGTTAACACTTCTTATTTCATTTTTTAAAGGCTATAGCTCTTTTGTTGTATCTTCATTAATTTACTTTGTTCTAGTACCATGACTAAAGATAAGAATTGACATGGGATTAACACTCTTTCAAAGTATGGATTCCTAGAACATCTGATCCCTAATCCATGCTTTTGCATTCATATTTTCTAGCCTATATCTTGAGCACATGTTAACCTATAACTACTTTATGGAAATCATAGAGAAAAAGAGATTTTACATTAGGGACTTTGATCACAAAGAAACATTATCCAATTGTATGCAAACTTGTAGTTATCAGTCTAAAATGATTCTTTCATTTTCTACAAATCAACACCAACTTCTGATTCAGGTTGCTACAGTTGTTTTTATTATTATTATTGCTGTTAATAGTAATCTTAAAATGACCTATGTGTGTCAATTGAATGTCTGCTGACAGAGTGTCATCATTATTTCTCAGCCAACAATACATTTATGCACAATGACAAACAGTTAAAATTGTTATTCTGTGAAAAAAAAAAAAAAGGCGTGTTGTGACAACCTCAGATTGAAAAATAGTAGGGTAAAAAACATACCAAAACAAACCCACAACAGTGCTTTTGAAACAAAAAGTAAAATGATTACAAACTGGAGATAATATAACAAAAAATCAAGGCCCAGATTTGTTATGCCATCACATCTATGTAATGAAGGCATCATTTTATTTCAAGAGATTCACGTAAAGCAAGAATTGGATTTGTACTTGGGAGAGAGATATTTCATCCCTAGAATGTAAATGAGGCATGTAAACAGTTATTAGGAAGTAAAAGAGTAGAAACAATATTTTTTGCTCACTGGTCTTTTAACTACACATTGCATTTTTGGTCACTGGTCTTTTAATTACATATTGCCAGCAGAATCTTAAAATCTTAGGGAGGGAAGGCAGGTCTATATATGAATTTAGATTTTCCAACATGGTCCACAGACAAATTCACATTTTCCATTGGATCATGAAGTTAGTTTGCCTTTTAAAAAAAGAAACATAACAAAATGTTTCGCAATGAGTTACACAGTAAACTAATATAATAATAACAACTATATAACAGGTGATTAAATGTTTTTATTTGAATCTATGTTTATAACTGAAGAACAAATTCAAACCTCGAGTTGCTATGATCAAGGATGCTTTAGGCAGAATGTTAAATGATCCAGGAGGTATCAAAAGAAGATGGAAGGAATATACTGAGTCATTGTAGCAAAAGGAATTGGCAGATACAGAAGAATTTAATGAAATAACATTTGAGGCAGAGCCTATGGTGATGAAGGCAGAAGTTCAAGCTGCTTTGAAGGAAACAGCAAAAAATAAGGCCCCCGGAATGGACGGTATACCAATTGACATATTTCAGCTAACAGATGCAGCCCTGGACGTGCTCACCAAGTGGTGCCAAGAAATCTGGAGAACAACCACTTGGCCAACTGACTGGAAGAGATCTATATTTGTTCCCATCCCAAAGAAGGGTGACCCAACTGAGTGTGGAAACTACAGAACAATAGCACTGATTTCACATGCAAGCAAGATTCTACTGAAGATTATCCAAAAACGACTGGAACAGTACATCAACAGAGAACTGCCGGAAGTCCAGGCTGGGTTTAGAAGGGGTCGTGGTACTAGGGATATTGTAGCTGATGTTAGATGGATCTTGGCTGAAAGCAGAGAATACCAGAAGAATGTCTATTTGTGTTTCCTTGATTATGCAAAGGCATTTGACTGCGTGGATCATAACAAACTGTGGCTGACTCTGAGAAGAATGGGAATCCCAGAACATTTAATCGTGCTAATGTGAAACCTATACTCGGAACAAGAGGCAGTCGTCAGAACAGAGCAGGGCAACACCGCATGGTTCAAAATTGAGAAGAGTGTACACCAGGGATGTGTCCTATCTCCATACCTTTTCAACCTGTATGCAGAGCAGATTATCCGAGAGGCTGGGCTCTATGAGAAGCGCGGCATTAGGATTGTTGGAAGATCTATCAACAATCTGCATTATGCAGATGACACAAACCTGCTCGCTGAAACTGAGGAGGACCTCATGCACTTACTGCAGAGGGTCAAGGACTGCAGCCTTCAGTATGGACTGAGGCTCAATGTCAAGAAGACAAAGATTCTCACCACTGGACCAATCGGAACTATCAGGATGGATGGCAAAGAGATTGAGATTGTTCACAGCTTCAGTTTGCTTGGCTCCACAGTCAACACTCTAGGCACCAGCAGCCAGGAAATAAAACGTATTGCAATGGGAAGGTCTGCTGTTAGGGACCTCTCTAAAGTACTCAAGAGCAACGGTGTCTCTCTGGAGACTAAGGTGTGCCTGATACAGGCCATGGTCTTTGCAATCACTTGTTATGTATCAGAGAGTTGGACAATGACTAGGGAGGATAGAAGGAGAATTGATGCCTTTGAGCTGTGGTGCTGGAGAAGAGTATTGAATGTACCATGGACTGCCAAGAAAACAAACAGATCCATCCTAGAGAGGGTTAAACCAGACTACTCCTTGGAGGCAAGGATTCTGGGGATTCGTCTGACATACTTTGGACATGTTTTAAGGAGAGACAGGTCCTTGGAGAGGGACATCATGCTTGGTAGGGTAGAGGGACAGCGCAAGAGGGGAAGACCCTCTATGAGGTGGATTGATTCAGTGACTGGGGTAATCGGGATGGGTGTGTCAGAGGCAAAGCGGTTGGCACAGGATAGAGCAGGGTTTAGGGCTGTTGTACATAGATAGGGTCGCTATGAGTCGCAAACAACTCGACGGCACATAACAACAACAACATGTTTATATAACATGGAAATTGTATAGGACAAGTTCCATCAAGTTAATCTAACAGTAAATGATTAACCACAAACTAAATTAGGGTCACAAATACATAATTTTGATCACTAACATGGGTACAGAAAACTCAACTCTACTAACTGCTATTGAGATAGAAGTGACTTAAAGAGGGCTAAACCTCATAAGAGGAGATTATCTTTTCCTCTTAGAGCAACTGGTAGACTCAAACTGCTTACCTTCAGATTGGCAGTGTAACTCCTTACACACTATACCAGTAGAGCTCAGAGAAATGCCAATAATGTGGTTGGACTTTGCACTTCTTTATATTTGTTTCAAGGTAAAGCCATACAACATCTCTCTTGAACTTTACTATTGATTTGAAAACAGAATTTTGGGTCGTGATGGAGAAAGATGCTATGTTCTTCAGCAACACATGGAATGAGAAGGGCGGGACCAACTGGCAGGACTATCAAGTGCTATATGGCTATCAGGCCATAACCAAACTTTGTGGTTTATTCCCTACGGTGGTCCACTGAATCTCTTTGGAACTAAAAGTAAGTTACTTTCTTTTCTCGTAAGGATATAAGCTTGAAGCCACTCACAAACTAAACTAGAGAAGAGGTTTATTTTAGGTGGTAATGAATTGTCATAGATTATTTTTGCAGTTTTTTTTCTAGCCAATAAAGAAATAAAATTTACAAGTAGAAGGACATCATACTTGGGAGGGTGGAGGGACAGTGCAAGAGAGGAAGACCCTCGATGAGATGGATTGATTCAGTGACTGTGGTAAGGGAGGTAGGTGTGTCAGAGAAGACAAGATTGTCACAGCATAGAGCAGGGTTTAGGGCTGTTGTACACAGGATTGCTATGAGTCGCAGGCAATTTGATGGCACATAATAACAGTGAATATTCATCACTTGCTAAAGGAGAAAGATAAGATAAATGTCTCCTCCTCAATTTAAGGGCTAATTAATGTATATGATTTTAGTAAAAACTCTTAGTATATCAGAATTCTATTTTAGGAATGTCAATAAATACCTTTCAGGGGAGGTAGCTTAATAGTAACATGGGGAAATTTCAGCTTGATGGAGCAGGTGGCAAGGAATATAATATATAATATGTATATTAATGAACACAAATATTTTCATATTAAGATGCTGGAGTTAGACTTTCTAAAAGTGATTTTAGGCACACTAGCGTGAATTGTTCAGAATCTCATAAAAGGTACAGTTGTAAAAATAGTAATTTTAGATTTAATGTAGTCATGCTAAAAAAGTCTGTTCTGATATTTATTTTATAAATGAGATCAATGAAACACAATACATTATATCACTCCTCCCAAAATGACTCAGGAGGAGTGAGGAAAGATAAAAACAAAGACTCCATTTTTAGGCTAATGGTAGCCATATGCATGCAAAGAATGTTCTTAAGAGACGTCTACAGCTTTTCAGAAAATGAATAATAATATTTAAGTGGTTTGAGAGAAGATAAGAGAAATGGGTAGTTCTTAAAAATGATAGGAAGAATTATTGGAAGAAGCCATTGGAATAGCCGTCATTCCAATAATGAAGGTTGTGGAAAATTTATAGCTTTGCTATTCAAATTGTGTTTGTTGTTTTTTTTTTTAACCATCTTTATGTCTTTTAAGAACTTTACAAGATCAATCAGTCATTGCTGTCAAGTCAGAACAGATGCATGGCTGACCCTGTTGTGGCTTTTCAGAGGCTGGACATCACATGAGGAGAGATTGCCTATCTTTCTCCTTCAGAGCCACTGGTGGATTTGAACAGGCAGCCAGGTGTAGCGTTATAGCTAGTAGCATAGGTAGCACATGTTGTATTCTCTTTCCCTCTCTCTCTTTAAGTGAAGATACAAACTTGTTTGGGAAATGAAACACTTAGAAATATGGTTCAGGTTCAGGAAATTGAGAATAGCCCAGAGGCTATTGTTTCTAATTAATCCACTTATGCTGAGAAACACTAATTCAAGCTCCTGACCAAATACATTAATTAAGCAATATTCTTCCAAACATACTACCATTTTCATTTTAACAGATAAAACAGAATGAGAAGGATAGACAAATAGATTGACCTGAAGATGTTGTTGTTGCTGTTATGTGCCGTCGAGTCGCTTGCGACTCATAGCGACCCTATGTACAACAGCCCTAAACTCCGCTCTGTCCTGTGCCAAATGCACTGTCTCTGACACTCCCATCCCAATTATCCCAGTCACTGAAGATAGAGTAGGCAAAAATACTTCTCAACTTAAAGATGATAGATAGCAAAAATTTTATACACTTGTAGCTTCACTATAATTAGATGTTAGTAAAATCAAAGGACAGAAGAATAATACTAACAGTATAGAACCACAGAGGAAGATTTAAAAAGATGTACATAGCTTTCAAGCAAAGAAGTGCTTGTAGGTATGACTTAAGTATAATCAATCACTCAACCAACCAATTATAGTTTATTTAATATTTGCCTGTGCAGATCCGTGTTGAGTACTTTACGGGATAAAGAATAAGCATATGTTTCTTTTCACCAAAAAATCTGCAATCTGATAAGAGGAGAGACCAAAATCAATTATGCAACTTGAGAACAATTTAATGTTACACTATCGGGCCCTGAAGACTAGTGGTTTAAAGGATTAAGAGGAATAACTCAGCTGGATGGCAGCAGTGGGTTGCTGGGTGAGATTTAAGTGGGTGAAAAAAGAAATGAAGAATGGAATTAACTCAGGCAGCAAAGGAAGAATTTGTATAGCTAGAATAAAAAAGACCACATTAAGGAAATTGTTATGTGAAGGAATAAAAGAATATGTACAGGAAAGACAGGACTATAGAGACTTAATAGTCAGAGAAGTTTTGGCTTGATAAAACAGGCAGCAAGAAGTTGTGAGGTTTCTAAGCAGGTTAGAGCCATCAAAACGAATAGTTCAGAAGATGGAAGTAATACAGAACATGAACTAGAGGAGCAATGAGACATGAGGGGCAGATCAAGGTGCTAAGCATGAACAGATCTAGTGATGGGAATAGTGTAAATGGTGCACCAATAAAGATATTCTGAAAAAAGACATAGCAGCAATTGGTGAGATGCATTGGTTGGAGGACAAGGATAGTATAAGGAATTTGTTCTTGAAAACAATGTATTAGAATTTTGTAAATAAACTAGTAGGAAAAAAACCACTCTATAAACTTTTTATGCAAAGAAATTCAAAGATACACGGTATCACAAAAAGAAAGTGGCTAAGAAAAAGAAACCAGTGTGGTTGGTTGGCAGGAAAATTGTCATAATTGTGTGTATTGATAAAAGTGATGGAGTTATGATGCATCTGAAGTGGAAATAGTCTAGAATCTGAAGGCACTTGCAAGTAAGAGTTAGAGGGAAAGATATGGATGCTATAATGTACGGCAACACTGAGGAAGTGATAATACTAAGAACAACAGCAAAGACTTGGAGATAACAAGAATGAAGGGATTAATTTAGACACTGTTGTTGTTGTTAAGTCCTGTCAAGTCACAGAAAGCTCATAGTGACCCTATGAATGAAAGACCTGAACACTTGTTTAACTTCCATCATTTCTCTAAGTTCATAGAGTTTCTAGAGGAAAGCTATTTAGGAAGTGGATGCCACTCCTGACACCAGAAATATTAAAATAGAATATCACAGAATATCTAGAATAGAATGTCACAGAAAAAAATTAGGAAGGATGAAAGCAGGTGTCAGAGAAACCAAGAAAGTTTTTCACAAGAAAAGTGGTTAAGTAGAAATGCTCCAGAAAAGTCAAGAGTGAGAGGTACAATTGGTTAGGTGTTGAGGTTTCTGGGGACCTTTATAAGAACAGTTTCAACAGAATTATGACAGAGCATACAATACTGAAGTGAAATGATGGAGTGTGCAGAGAGTTGCACTGTTAACCCCAAAGCCAGACCCTCCTTGGCAGGTCAAATCCACCAGTTATTTCTCAGGAGAGAGATGGGCAGTTTCTTCCCATATGAGTTATATGCTCAGAAATCCAATGAAGGCTCACTGAGAGTCATTTCCAACTAGACAGTAGTCAGTTTTGAGTTATCACAGAAAGGATGACCAGGAAGCACAGGTAGTGAAGACAAGACACACACTAAAGGATTTTGCCATTAATGGAAATAAAAAAATGGAATCATAACAGTATAGGAAATACACAGGGTAGTCAGGTATTGTAATAACTGCACAGTGATTTATTTTTAGTCATTTACTCTTCACAATAACCGTTTGAGCTTGCCTTCGTTAGAAGGCATTTTTCAAGATGATAAAACAGAGACACAGAGACATTAAATAATGTGACCAGGCCACAGAGTCAACAGGCAAGAGAATCAGGTTTTGAACCCAGGGAGCTCTAGCTCCAGCTCTAACTCTACAGGGCATGTCCTGGCTTTACTATACATCCTCTTCAAGCAATGAAGTAAAACTTGGTCAAATTTACACAAAGTTTGATCCTGACAATTCATTAGCATACTTGAAGAAGTGAAAGCACCTGCTGAAATGAACAAAAAAATAAAGGGGATGAACTGAGACAGGAATGGAAAAACCAGGGAGAAGGTGTGATTTATGCAGTGGAGCTCTAGATCAGAGGAAGCTAATTTTTATACTCCTTACAATTTTCCTTACAATACTCCTTTCAATTTACTGTGTCAGAGAGGAGAGTAGTTACTTGCCTGCAAGGCTTCGTGGAGATTTCCATTGTAGTCTATGATCTCAGTGGCTCCTGGATCCCCTTTTTGACCGGGTGGACCCTATGGGGGGAGGGGAATCAACCAAGGAAAAAGAACAGAAATTAGAAAGATATTTAGAAGGGACTGTGGCAAAAATCAGATCTTTCTGCTCTCTTTCACTACTGCTTTACTGTTGAGGACCAATCACATTTTAGAATAAATATGTTTCAATTTTCTCATTGCAATTAATTCAGCCCACTTCTATCATTTTGTAGGTTAAAGAGAAAAATACAGTTAGAAACATAAGGTTTAGTATCTACAGATGTTTTCTGAAAATCATAGAATAGAGACAGATCTAACATATAGAATTTTATTGATATTATCTGTATTTATTAAAACAATTTCAAATTTATTTTCTCCATCTATATCTCATAGGTGACTTCTTTATTTTTTAAGAAAACACACGGTCTTGATGTCACAAATGGCCAGTGCTCCAACCATTAACCAAATGGTTGTTATGTTAGCTTAAAAATTGGCTTTTTTAGCCATTATGTTAGCCCCCTTTGTTCTCCAGCAACGTTAACTGCAGACACATGATCTTGTAAATCGTCAACAACTGTGGGATTAGGATAAGACAAAAAGTGCTTCCCACACTGAGCAGCAAGACTTGAGGAAAACTGGGGCAAGACCCTGGTAAGAACGAGACCCTAGTGGTGAGAGCCAGGTGATGGTGGTGGAGAGATTTTGGCATTCTTTCACTTCCCTATTCTCCAAACCATGACCCTAATAAACCCCACTTTCAGTACCACAACTGTAGGTAAAGTCAACAACAACAAATACTGGACCATAAAGATTGGTAGAAAAAAAGTGCAGGAACATGGAGGGTGGAGGGGTGGGTGCCATGCCTGACCAAGCAGAAATATATTTGCTCATAGGGATATTATTGATAGGAGTAGTTATCCCTTATGAAATGATTAAAAGTCAGATTCAGCCACCTTCCTGTTGCATTCACTCCCTTTACAGTGGTTCAAGCCCAGAATGCAGGCCTGGAAATCTGCCTCTGAAAGATCACAGCCTTGAAAATCCTATGTGGTAGCTCTCTCGGAACATGTTGTTATGTGCCGTCGAGTCGTTTCCGACTCATAGCAACCCTATGCACAACAGCCCTAAA